GAGTTGAAGTCCACCAGTCTTAAAGTTGCCACGGTTGGACACCCCTGCCCTAGAGCTTCAGAGACAAAAGTAACTTAACAACAGTTGTGGTGTGCTTTAAGTAGCCTATGGTTGAGAGGAAATCAATCCCACAGCAAACAAACTTATCTTTGGCGGCAGCAACACTTGTGCCATTTGCCAATTTAAACAACAGCAACAAAAAATCACTCAGCCAAAGATAATCTTAGACTGTTGGTTCCTTGCCACGCTCTATCGATCCAGAAGGGAGGGGAAAGTATCCTTCCAGAAACAGTTGCTCTGATCCACAGAGAAACATTGGAAGGTGGAAGTGTTGCTTTTTAAGAAATAGGAAACATTAGCAAATGAGATGGAAACTATGGATGGAAACTGACCAAGGAGAGAAGAAACTTGGAACTAAGGAGAAACTTCCTGACAGTTAGAACAATTAATCAGTGGAACAACCTGCCTCCAAAAGCTGTGAATGCTCCAACACTGGAAGTTTTTTAGAAGAGATTGGATAGCCATTTGTCTGAAATGGTATAGGGTTTCCTGCCTGAGCAGGGGGTTGGACTAGATGACCTCCAAGATCCCTTCCAACTCTGTTATTCTCTTCTATTCTGTTCTGTTATTCTCTTCTATTCTGTTCTGTTCTGTTGAACTATCTTATTGAACAGCAGAAAGATAGAGACGTCTATAAGTCTGTACAGACAGATGTCTTCTACTCTGTGACTCTCATATCTTGCGAGTGGGTGGGTGGGTGTCACCTTAACAATTTTACTCAAGACAAACAGATCAGCTGGTCAGTTCTGATGATGAATATTGGTAAGGGTGTTTAACCTAACAGCCTTCTTCTACTGTGGCATACTTGATCATTTAAGAGATTCTATTGTGCATCTGGAGACGGTTAATGGCCATCCAATCTAGCCACATAAATAACCCTGATCCTTCAGGATTCTGTCTTGCCTCCTTTTAAAGTCAAGTAATTCAGTAGCCTTTCCCATATCAATGGGAGTGCAGGCTAAACCTTGGAAGTTATGGAAATCTGGCTGGAGAAATAGCAATTAAGTG